GGAGAAGAAAAACCCTAATAAAATTTCACTCGCTATCATATTTGCATATACTAAATTAACGTAACTTCTGAAACATAAAGCATTTATAACTGAAACCAAAAACACAATCAAAATATTAAGGAAGTGCTCAGTAAATGAATGACAAATCCATCTAATCAGTCTGACATGATGACATGAACATAACAGCAAAAGGATCAACATGACAGCCAAGCTGTCACCCAAATAGTCAAGTTGGCAACCACTTGGTTTTGTTTTGCGGTACATGTCACTGTCAACGTTTACTTTAAATATTTGGATAAAATGATTGAAAGGTCTATTTCATTTGCATCTAGATTTTCTCAATCATTAAACCGTATGTTTCCTAATTGGATTTTTATTTTTTAAATATCTTGATACGATTTTACAAGTGAGAGTACGTCGTGCGCGCGCTTAATAATCTACAAATTGCCCTCTTTCCTCCGCCCAAAAAAATAAATAAATAAAAATAAAATGAAACAAAATAAAAAGAAGAAGCTCAAGTGGTCTATCAGACAACCTCATTATTTTTTTGGTCAATGAAAATTTTATTCATTCAAACCAATTTTGAAAATTATGTACATCAAGATTCTCATAAACCGAGAAATCTATATCAATTACAGATTCTAGGGATATCATCCCACAAACAAACTACTATTTACAAAGAATTAATTCATTCTCTATTTTAAGGTAGTATGGAACCATTGAGTACTAAAATCAAAATGTCAACCTTAATCTCATTTATCTCCATCTAAATTGGAGCCAACTCATAATCATGTTCCAGATATTCTGTGAATAAACAAAAAAAAAGATGATCGCGACTCTTAGGACCTGCACCAAAGCACAGACAGCAGCTGTTTGTGTGTATAACCCCCATCTTCATTAACCTGTCTTGTATAAGTAACCAGTTTTGAACAGCAAGCTAGCAAATAATTGAGTGCTTGGGGTAATTCATCATCTCCCAAACTGTGTTAAACCATGAAACTTGAGGAGCGGAGGGAGATAAAGCTTCATACAGAGCTGAAATTTTAACTTTTGAATTTTTGTAGCATGAAGCAATGATTTGTTTCAAGTTATCAATTTCACAAGTTAAGGCCAATGCTCCATCTCTGGTCTTTATCAATTGTCTCCAAAGCCATGAATCTCCTGATTTAGCATTAACATGCCATATATCTCTGTTTTTTAAATATTTGCTATGTATCCACTTGATCCAAAGAAGCTCCTTGTTCACATGAATATACCATATGTTTTTAGAGTTGAAGCAACATTCCATAACCGAGCAGAGAAAATGCCTAAACCACCAAATCTTTTACCACAACAATTTTTTTGCCAAGCTACCAATGAAGGTTGATGAATATGATATGTTCTCCCCCAGAGAAAGTCTCTACACATATCATCTATTTTCTGAAGCACACTTACATGTAAGATGTAACAGGATGTCCAATATATTTGAACACCCAAGATCACACTTTTGATAACCTATAATTTCCCTGCATAAGAGAGACTTTTTGACTTGGTCCATACCTGAATTTGATTGCTGATTTTATTGAGAAGGGGATTGCAATCAAAATATGAGAGTCTTTTGCATACAAGAGGCATCCCTATATATCTGATCGGTAAGGAACCCTCAGCATAACCCAAGTACTCATATATAGAGACTTTAGTAGCTTCATTTACCCCACCAAAGAATATATAACATTTATCTGGATTTGCACAAAGACCAGTAGCAGAACTGAACTCTTGTAGGCATTGCTGAAGTTTTTGCACTAAAATTAGATCACCCTTGCTAAATAATAACAAATCATCAGCAAAATAAGATGTGTTATCTTGAGTTTTCTACACATAGGATGGAATTTGAATTGCCTGTCATTTTTCGGAAAATCCAAGCTTCTTGAGAGGTATCCCATACCAAGAATAAACATATATGGGGATAGAGGATCCCTCTGTCTAAGGCCTCTTTTCCCTCTGAAATACCCATGAAGAGAGCCATTGAGTGAGATAGAGTATGATGGGGAAGACATAGAGGTCATAATCCAATCCACCATCTTGTTTGGAAAGCCCAGACCCTTTAGCATTTCCTTCAAAAAGCTCCAGCTAATAGTATCAAATGCTTTTTTGATATCAATGCTAAGCATTACTCTTGGGAAAATAGATGTTTTTGCTGTAATTCTTAATCAGCTCATGAGCAAGTAAAATGTTGTTGGTAATTTGCCTACCCTCCACAAATGCACTATGAGCATCATTGACAATAAACCCATAACTGTTCTAATCCTATTTGCCAGGATTTTTGATATGAACTTGTAGAGAACATTACAACAAGAAATAGGCCTAAAGTCTGAAGGAGAAGTAGGGCAGTTGACTTTTGGAATAAGAGCAATAGCAGTTAAATTAACTTTACCCAGCAGTTTACCAGTTTTGAAAAATTCATCAACAGCTTGAGTAACTTCATCTCCAACCACACTCCAAGTAGATTTGAAAAAGGCAACATTGAATCCATCTGGACCAGGAGCTTTATTATCTGACATGGAAAAAATTACATTTTTTTGATTTCTTCTTTTGTAACTGAAGCAATTAATCCCCTGGCCTGAGGATCATTCAAGCAAGGTCCTGAATGAATGATGTTGATGTTGGGAGGAGAGGTATCCACAGCAGTACCCATCAGGCTTTTAAAATCAGTGATAAATTCATTTACAATATCATCCATATCTGTTATTCTTTGTCCCAAGTTGTTATAGAGAAGCATAACTCTATTATGATGTCTGCTAGCTTTAATCATTGAATGAAAGAATTCAGTGCATCTATCACCTTGAACACTCCAGTCTATTCTTGCTTTTTGTTTGAAAAAAGATAGCTCACAATCCATCAAAATGTTGTATTTTGAGATTCATTCCTTTTCCTGCTTAATTAACTCAGGAGACATAGGATCAGCATGTAGACCTTTTTGAACATCTTCCAGTACATGTTTTGCATGATGAACCTGCTCACTTATATTATAGAAGAATTTTCTATTAATTTCCTTTAGTGCAATCTTCATATTTTTTAATTTCGAGCAAACTAAGAACATGACACACCCTTTAATCCTTTGTTGCCAGACATTTGTAACTATAGGGAGAAAACAATCATGCTTTGTCCACATCTTGAAACATTTGAAAGGCCTTTTGCCTTGTAAACATTCTTCATTAACAATAATAAGGCCAGGAGAGTGGTCTGAATTTTTTGGCAAAAGGAATTCAACTTGACTAGAATTATAAGATAAAATCCAATTATCATTAATCAACACTCTATCCAATCTGCTCCAGATCCTTGTACCATGATCCTGTTTGTTATTCCAGGTATAAAAACATCCAATGGTTTTTAGATGAGAAAGCTGACAATTATTTATAAAACTTCTGAAATCCACTGTATCAGATTCAGAGAGCATGCTACCTCCAATTTTCTCTTCATTGCTAGTAATAGCATTAAAGTCCCCACATAAGAGCCAATGAGTATTACCAATAGTTTGATGAATAGAGCTCAGTTCAGACCATAATACTTTCCTTGCTTCTAAATTATTAAATCCATAGACTGAGGAAATTACATAATATAGTTTACCATCAACTGATTTCACTGAGCAAGTGATATTTTGATCAGAACAAGTAATCAATTGCATATCCAAAATATTAGGATTCCATAGGATCAAAATTCTTGCTTTACCTTGCCTTCTCACATTAGACATCAAATTTCAGTTTTTAGCAATTTTCCTGGCAATTCCTGGTAATAAGCTATCTTTGATCTTTATTTCCAGTAAAGCTATTAAAGAGATGTGATATTGCCACAAATGATGCTTAACAATTTGTTGTTTTGAGGGCTTATTCAGCCCCCTCACATTCCAAAAAGATAGGTTCATCAAAAAAGATCACCCCCTCTATCAACTACTGAGGGATCCAAATCCAAATACTCAAGTTGAGAGAAAGACTTTGCTGGAGTAGATTTTTTTTTCTATTTATTTCTTTGAACATTAGGCCAAGTATTGTCAGGTTGAGAAACTTGGATTTTACCTTCAGGATCTAGCCGTTGTGCATGCACAACATGCACCAGACTGTGCACATTAGTGCCCTTTCTTAAACCTGTATCCTGAGATTTGTTTTCCATTCTGCTTACTTGCACTCCTTGTATATCATGAGAAATATACTCAGTAAACAACCCTTTTCCTTTATCCGGTTGATGAAGATTTTTAGACATCCTAATTTGCTGAGAAACCTGAACAGGCAAACTTACAACTGAAGCTTTATCTTTCACACCTGACCTTTGTAGTACTGCATCTAACACATGCATTGAATTGTTTGGGGGCTCAGGAGTAGTTGTTTTCTAAATCTTTGAAAGATTTCATTTGCACTAGAAACATGCACATGAATAACAGGGGGATTCTGTACTGCTGAAACACCAGTTTTACGAATCCATCTCTGAACTCTTGGAAATCTCTTGCAAAACAAAGTATCATGTCCTACTTGCTTGCAGTGATTACACCATCTAGGCTTCAGTTCATATAAAATTTTTAATTATAATTTAACAATGCTTTTCTAAAATATTGAATATGTAACAATGCTTTTCTAAAATATTGAATATGCCACTATTGTATCCTATTTTGTTCCACGCAGGTAGATGATAGCTTGAGAGCTGAGGACGTGGAAGTCTACTATGATCCACGCAGGTAGATGATAGCTTGAATATGCCACTGATTTCATCCTATTTTGTTCCACGCAGGTAGATGATAGCTTGAAAGCTGAGGACGTGGAAGTTTACTATGATCCAGGACAGTTGTTTGGTGGCCTTCTCAAGGGCCCCTTGCTCCCCTCTAGCGCCACCGTCGAGGAGGCTGTAGCCGCAGCTTTGTCGCTGGATGCATGTCCCTCCTTCAAGGAGAAGTGATATATGCTTTCTGAATTTGAATTTGCTTGGAGAACGAATCTAGTAGTTTTCTCGTTAATAAATGGATGGATGTTTGATGCAAGTTTTCTGATACTTATTATTTCCAATGAATGTATGAATCAAGTCTTTATGAAAAAATGGACATACGAATAAATAAGGGCTAAATTTCACAAACTAATCCTTCACTTGGGCTGTATCTGTCATAACCCTCTGAACTATTTTTAATGCCATGAAAGCTTTCTTAACTTGACATCGAATTCTCTACAATTTTGATTGTAAAGAATGCATATAATTAGTTAGGTGTGTTAATATTATTGTATTATTGGCTTATCTCAGCGAATCCACAGTTAAAAGTATTTCATATTATTTAGATAATTAATATCAAAATTTGAAAGGTTTTTGCACATAACTTCTAGGAATATCATTTATTCTATTAAACTCTTGAAGATTTTTCACAACTCAAGTCTAACTTATCACGTGCGATAAGAAAAAAGTGAAAATACCTATTGCTTGTTCAAAAATTAGTGGAATTAATTAGCAATATAAGAGGGTGGTTTTCCAGTCACATTTTTATACTTTCAAGAAAACCAATCTAAAGATAACCACTAACAGGTAATCAGAAAACATAAGAGATAACCGGATAAAAATATAACTTTGAGAAGTTAACCAGAAGAAAGATACTCGCAAAAAAAGTTAACCAGAAAGTTAACCTGAAAATTAACCAGAAAATGTGTTAATCTCTCAAAAACCAATTTACTAGAGGTCAAGATATAGGGTACCAAAACTATCCGCAATCAAATTGTAATTAAAGGACCCAAAAACTAATATGATCCAATAAAAAAATTCAAGAGTCAAGTCAGATTAAGGCCTTTTGTTACGATCAGAACAATGAACAGGCCTATTGCCTAGATAGAATGACCCAATCAGGCCCAATTTGCATCTTCATAATTATTGGAGACTTGAGCAATTAGTTTAATAAATACTTATTTATGCTTTAAGTTTGGAAGCTAATAAACAAATATTAGCTCAGTTTCCCACATTAAACGGTCAAGAGATATGGGTTCGCAAAATATTTTACTTTGTCTTACGGGTTTAAAGAATAAAGGCTAACAAGGTTTCTCAAATGTAACGTTACACAATAATGGAAATGATAAGATATCAGGGTTAGTTTAATGTTAAGTTACCGGTTGACTAATCTTAGGATGAAAGCATAGTGGGAAACAAGTATTAAAAAAAAAAAATCCATGGATTCAAATAAATAAATAAATGAAGAATATTATAGGATTATTAACTTAACGGCAGTGTTTGATAGTTCTAAACAAAATTTAATGGAAGCATACAAGTTATGTAGCCCCCCGAAAATCGAGATAAATGCTTAGTTGTTTTTATTTATATTTTGAATAAATAAATGGGAGTATATTAACATAGTATCAGACTATCAGTGCAGTTCATCAGAATAAAAGAAAGCGAGCGATGTACTCTTTTTCCACAAAACTAAGTGATCGGTCTAGATGGAATTTTCTTAACAAATTAACATTGCTTCTTTACTGCTGCACAACAGTGTTTTCTATCATAATTTATGTACAGTTGAATTTTTTTTCTTGAATGAAATGTTAGAACAAGCGAAACTAATGATCCATATTTTATTGATTATGTTTAGAATTATTAAGATCTAGATGCAAACCTAGAGGGGAGGGGATTGAATGGAGTTGCTACACTTTTTCAATTAAATAAAAAATTATTTGACTAACAAATATTGCAGCAAAAATAATAAACAAAATAAACAACAATGTTGTAGAAAGATAATCAACCACAGTAGAATCAATATAGCAAGACCCTAGAATTTTTGTAATGGTTCAGAAAATTTTTCCCTCTACTCTTCCTTCTCTAAAAGGTGCTTCCACACTAAGATAATTGTTCACTTGGATTACAAAAAGTAATCCAATGAGCTCTACAAGACAGCTCTCAAGATTAACCAAATCTAGTAATCTACACCACAACTATCCTATCTCTAGTGTGTAACATAGCTCCCTACTAGTAATCCTCATCCTCAATTAGCATTGATAACATCGAACTCAGACATACGCAACACGATCAGGTCTATCACGAACTCAGAATCATCCAAACTGACGATACATCTCCTACAAACACTATCTAAAAGAGACGTCTCCCCTAATGGAGTAGATACAGATAAAGAAAAATCTAATGGTAGCGCCACAAGTTGGAGTCTAACCGTAAAATCGTAGGAGATAAAAGAATGAGAAGCGCCAGAGTCAAAAAGAATACGTGATGGAAAGAAATTCACAAGGAAAGTACCTTCCACCACCGTCCCGCTCACGCCATGATTGTGAGGAATAACTGCATACGCTCTACCAGTCGGCTGCGGTGCATCGCCTGGAACATATGGGACTATATGTCCCTGCTGGGTCTCCTGAATCGCTCGTACCTATCCCTCAATCCTCGGGACTGCTAGAGATACCTCAATTCTTAACTGTTGATCCTGACCGCGTCCCTGAGTACGGTTCTGATGCTGCTGCTGCTAATTCCTGCCCTGCTGGCCTACTATGGGTGCGTTGCGGCACTCTGCTACTTTGTGTCAGAGCTTGTTGCAATTGAAACAATCGCCATAAAATCGGCGTTGCTGCTGTGCCCTCTGATCCTGCTGATGACCCTTCTTATGGGGACCCTACTGACCCCGAACTGTCCTGACTTAGCATTACCATCTTTGCCCTTAATAAATATAGTTGTGTCTGTCTCCTGAGCCATGGTAGCATCTGCCCCTCCCGCACTGAACGAAACCTCCGAGATACTAGATATCGGTATAGACCTGGGCGAAGTCCCGTCATGAACATCTGAGCCTGCCTCTCCTCGGTGTGCCACATTCCAGTGAATCTAAGTAGTGACATGCATGAATTTACTCTCAAAAACCATCACCGACATATCCCCCTGCTCCAACCGAGCTAGCTCTAACTCCTTCTTGGCTTTTGCTGCAGCCGAAACATATTGCTCTTCAAAGAAATACACAAAAGTCTCCCACGAGGCCGTTAACCTCTATTCTGGAGTAAAACGAAGCCGATACAATCCTCCTGGATCGCACTTGAGGTTGAAAGCTGCTAGCCTCCGCTTCTGCACAGTATTCACATTAAGCATGTCCAAAATATTGCTTACATATTCCTTCCATTTGTGTGCCACAATGGAATCCGTCGAATAATAAAACTCTGGAGCCTTCAACTTTTGGTACCTCTCTACCAGACGAAGCCAAGTCTCATGCTCAGCCACTCCATCATCAACTGAAGGTGGTGGTGTGACTACCGGTGTCCCCTTTGGGATCTCCTAATGAATGGGTGTTCCTTGACGAACCTGATCTACTAACTGCTCCTCAATAGCTGCTAGTCGAGCAACTAACGGTGCTATGAGATCCATTAAGTACTGCAGAGCATGCTGTGGCTCGGGCTCTCTATCGGCTTGCTCAACTCCCTGAGCATGAGTACCTCGGCGTCCGCGTCCTCTTCCTGACATCTATAATTTAGAAGTAGAGCATATTACACACAATAGACAGGATCTCAAGCATGAAATGATATAATGTAAACCAATAAGTAAATTGTATCACCTATTACTCATAGCATTCTTTATTATTCAAGCAAATAGTTCATCTTAAAAAAAAATTGTAATTTCCCGCCTACATATATAATACGTCCTCACTCATACTAGGAATTCCTAGCGGACTGTATACATGATTCCTAGAAAACTCTATCCTAACTCCACAATATGACACAGGAATGATCCTAAGGATATTGGAATCTAGAGCTCTGATACCAACTGTGATTCCCCAGGTTTCACAAAAGGCTGCAGTCCAAGGCGAAATCCAAAATGTCAAACCTACCAAGCATCAAACACCATGCTACGTGTCATGCCCCACTTCCCAAAATACCCGGGAATCGAAACGTGAACAAGCCCGCGATGTATTAGATTGAGTAGAAATATAAACTATAATTTTTTCTTTTCTTTTCTTCTCAATCCAATACGCTAAGCGTCTAGAAATAAATGCAAAGGCACAAGTCCCCGATCACAATTAGCAAGAATATAATGAATAACACAGAATAAAATAATACATATCATAAATGAATATCATCCAAGACATAATATTCAGGTCAAACATACCCTTATACATATCTAAACAAATGAATACTGAAGAAATATGAAATACATCAATCAAACAGGAATGGAAAGAACTACAAAAGCAACTAGGACCAACAGATAAAAAAAGAAAAGACTAGGCTTTGACTTCTTCTTCTGCTCTGTCTACATGGCACTCCTGCTGAGAATCCTATGGCTCCTGCGCTGAACCTGTTCTTCCTCTAAGTCTGACGTACACCAGAGAAAACAGGTATACATCAGCGAGCATGGCACACGGTAAGACCCCACAAAAGAAAAGAACGAACGAAAACCCAATGCGAAAATGATACAACAACAAAAATAATAAAGAGACGTGCAACGAAAAATCCAACGAAATCAATCAAGTAACAAGTCGATCATGCAACTAGCGATCAGAAATCATCCAAGTCAAAAGGTCATACAATTAAATGGAATTAATACTTAAAAATCTACAACTCGAGACGTAGTACTCGAGTGAAATAATCCAAACAAGGAAACTTTCATGTATATACCATATGTCTCGAATTATAAATAAGTAAATATTAATCCCGATCTATGTACGAAGAGAAACACAACTAGCTTACATCTCACAAGAAATCACACCAAGCAAAGAAACGAGATCATTTAACTAGAGATCCTATAACAGGTCACTGGTCACATCTCACACAGAGTCAACGCTCCTGTCATCGGATACTGACTGTTCACAAATCCACTACGTGCATCCAATCCTGCTACACATGTGGCCAGAGGACTACACATAAACCGTTTTCTGCCTGGTCCGAACTCAAGCAAAACTCGGGTGACGAAACGATTTCACTGACTAAAGTGATGTACATACTTCACTTTAGCCCTACAAACCAATCCCAGTGGCGACGCTAGCCACTAACGTGAGCTTGGAAGATACATCAACAGCCTTATCCGATCACATGAACATTAACTTCCCCATCCCAACTCTTCTCGTTTTTCTAAATCAAACAAAATCCTTATTGAAACTCAG